TCTTATATGAAATGACTCACTTCTTTTTTGTTGCTTTCAAGATTCTCTGTCTTCCACCACTTTGATTACAATATGTCTAAATGTGGATCTCCTTGAGTTTATCCTTCTTGGAGTTCTTTGAGATTCTTGGTTGTACAGATTCATGCCTGCCATCAAATTTGGGAAGTCTTTGACCATTGCTTCATATATATTTTCTGCCCCTTTCTCACTCTCATCTTCTACTGGGACTCCTATTATGAGTATATTGATAATATTTTAAAAGGTGTCCCACAGGTCTCTTAGGCTCTGTTCATTTTTCTTCATTCTTTTTTCTTTCTGCTCCTCAGACTGGGTAATCTCAATCAACCTATCTCGAAGTTTGGTGATTCTTTCATCTTCTCAAATCTGCTGCTGAATCTCTCTAGTGAATTTTTGACTTCAGTTATTGTACTTCTCAGTTCCAGAATTCCGATTTGGTTCCTTTTTATAATTTCTCTTTTTATTAATATTTTATTTTAGATATTCTCTATTATTCTCCTGGTTTTCTCTAGTTCTTTGTACATGGTTTCCTTTAGCTTTCTGAAAATATTTTAACTAGTTGATTGAAGGTCTTTGTCTAGTAAGTCCAACATCTGGGCTTCCCCCAGGAATGCTTTTATTAATTTATTTTTCCTGTTTATGGCCCCATATTTGTTGCTTTGAATGCCTATTTTTTGGTTGAAAACTGGACATTTTGAATATTATAATGGGGTAACTCTGGAAATCAGATTCTACTTCCTCCCCAGGGTTTGTTGTTGTTGCTTGTTTTATCTGATTTTGTTTGTGTGTTTAGTGACTTTCCTGAACTAATTTTTTATAGTCTATATTCTTTGTTATGTGGCCACTGAGCCATAACATGATGGCTTAGTGGCCATCTAATGACTCAACAGAGATTTCTTTAAATGCTGAGACTGTAGTGTTTTTTCTTAAGCATTTGCCTTGTTGCTATAAAGTTTTGATTAGTTTCTAGAGTTCCAATCAAGTTGATTCTGACAGCTTTTGCCAGATTATTTGCTGCTTTTGTGGAGGACTTTTGAAGCTTCCTATTTTGCCATTTTTGTCAATGTCACTCTCTCTATTCACTTTTTTAGTCAATATTTTTTCTCTCTTATTCAGATTGGAGAATTTCTACTGATCTATCATCAAAGTTTATTGACTCTTTCCTCTGTCCTTTGTTCCTCTGCTGTCAAGTCCATCCAGTGAGTCTTATATTTCAGTGATCGTATTTTTCAGTTCTCAAGTTTGCACTTGGTTCTTTATGTCTTGCATTTGTTTGCTGAGACTTTCTATTTAAACATTTGTTGCAAGAGTACTTGTGATTTTTTTTTAACATTTTTGTAATTGTTGCTTTAAAGTCTTTATCAGATATTTCTTACCTCACTGTCATGTCTGTGTTGGCATCTGTCGATTATCCTTTTCAATGTAAGTTGAAATTTTTGTGGTTCTTCACATGCCAAGTAATTCTGAATTGCATTCTTCTTATTATGTTAAGAGATACTGAGTCTTGTTTATATTCTATGGAAAACGTTATTGTTTTTGTTTTAGCAGGCAATCTGAATAATTAAGTTGAGGTTGAAATTTCCACAGTGGGCTGTGGTTCCAATGTCAGTTCAATTTTCAGAGCCTCTGTAGTGTTCTTCAGATCTTTCCTGCATGTTTGCTACCCAGTGGTCAGTATGGGACCTATGTGGTGGTCTACCAGGTTAATTCATTTCTCAATTACGCTAATTAGGATCAGACCTGTGCATACATGGCTCAAGAGTGAGCCCATAAACTTATAAACAACTTTATGAAGTTGCTTTATCACACTCCTCCTTTTATGTGATTTCCTGGAGGTGGCTATCCCTTTTGGTCCTCCTGACAGAAACCTGGGACTCTAGTTTTAATTCTCTTTTGTGTTCTTCCACGATTGGGCCGCTGTATACAAAGAACGTTTAGTAACCAGGCTTCCATTCTTAAGCCAAAATCATCATCATCATTAGCAGTAACAGCAGCAGCAGCAATAATTCTCCTAACTAACAGAATAATCTATCTAGGAGGAAAAAATGGCAGCAATTGTTAAGATTGGTATCCCAGAGCAAGACACCTGAAATCTAACATTTAGTGATCCCTCAGAAAAATGGCTGGCTCTCAACCCAGTCACCCTAAAATGACGCCTCCTGTTGACAAGCCAGGGCTACAAATAATGAGCTATCACTCATCTTTTTATTGCCTTGTTGTTAAAAGAGGATGTTGGTCAAGAAAGATAAAAAAAATAAATAAATAAACAGAAAAAAATGACCACAGAGGAAACACATAACTGAAAAAAAACAAAATAAAATTTAACATTTCAATATTGTATCAATAAATCAAGAACAGGAAAACTGTGAAATGGGAATAAACACTAAACAAGGAAAAATCTCTTGGAAATTAAAAATATAAAATTGCTAAAATAAAAAATTTCAATGTAAGGGTTGGAAGATAAAATCAAGAATATACCAGAGAAATTAAAACAAAAAAAAAAGAAAATATGATTGAAAGGAGTCACTATGGTCCATCTGGGACCTTTAGTATCAGACTAATAGGAGTTCTAGAAAGAGAAGGGGAAAACAGGGAGGAATTATCAAAGAATAGAGAAAAAAAATATGACACACCTGTTCTACTAACTTATGGAGAGAAGTTGGGAGACAGTCATATGAGAGGAAGCTATTAAGGTATCTCTTTATGTTGGCGCTTCAAGCCCATGAGAGAGGATTATACTGGGTAAGTGAGAGTGAGCGCTGACCATGAATAGAAGGACTCCAGCCCTGATTCCCAAAACCAGCACAAGACCAAGAAGCCTCCTTTACTTACAGCATAAGTTCATTTACACCATCTCCCCAATACTTCAGACACTGTCTTAGAGTCAAACATGGGGAGAAGGCAAGTAATTGAAATAATGAGAAATTATCCCCCAAAGACTGATTTAAATTTAAAGAAACTTTAAATTATGGAATTGGATTGAATTATAAATAAGATTTTCTCTTCCCAGGAACTGGGTAGGTTATGGATTGTTTTATCTGGGGATACAAAAGAAAATGATAACAGAGAACTCCCAGAGCTGAAGGAAAGTGTCCAGCAGTTTGAATCACAGAATATTCACTCTCTAGATATATCATATAAAATTTCACATCAAGAATAGAGAAGTTCCTAAAACCTCTCAGAGAGAAAGAAAAATGTACCCTACAAAAAAAACAAGAATTGGACTGACAAAAGACTTTTCATCAGTAACACTGGATGTTTAAAAACAGTGAAACAATGCCTTTAAAGTTCTGAGGGGGAAAATGTCGATTTAAAATTCTTTACCAATTAGGATTATTAACAAAGAATAAAAACATTTTCAGACAAGCACGAACTTAGGTTTAGCTCAAATGCACACCTTTCTTAGGAAGTTGCTAGAGGGTCTTTAACAGCAAAATGACAGAGTGAACCAAGAAAGAGTACATGAAATCCAGACAACAATGGATCCAACCCAGGAGAGTAATGAAGGAAAGTCCTGGATTAGGGTAAGAAGAAGGAGGGTTGCAGCGAGCGATTCTAGGAAAAGCAGGGATTCCAAAGATTTTTATATTACTCTTAAGAATTTGGAACCCAGGGAAGTGATAAAGGCAGAAAAATAAGAGGGGAAAAGCCTTTCAAAAACCCCATGCAAAAAACAAAAAGCTATATAAGAAAGGAAACGGAATCATAGTCTACTACTTTACACTGCTTGGTTGTACCAGAATAATATTTACATAATCATAATAATATAAACACTTCATTTTCTACCCTCAGAATCAACTAGTAGACAAAGGAGAGAAAATATAATTATGGTTAAAACACAGAACATAGATGTTTGCAACTATGAAAATATAAAGGTTTATGGTAAAACTGCAAGTAACAGTAGCGAGCCAAAAGATATTGTCTATTGTCTGTTGTTGATAGAATAAATAAAATGGCAAACTTTATTTAAGATTAGAAAAGTAACCAACAGAAGAACAGAATGAAAAGTAGTAATATAACTACATTGGGGACAATGGAGATGGGGCAGTGTAAGTGAGCCAAATCCTCATTTGTGAGAGCAAGATAACATAATAAGAATAGGTAATATCTAAAATGATTAAATCAAGAAAGAGTATCAAAAGTATATTATTTAAAGATATCAAAGTAAACATCAGAAGAACTAAAAAGAAAATTAGGAGAAAGAAGTGATTCCTTCTAAGAAGTGAGACTATTTATTATATGTTCTTCTGTACCATTTGATATTTTTATGCATATGCATCTATTACTTTAATGAAAATTTTAAAAATTAAAGTTTCTTGACCAAGTAACACTTTTGTATGGTTCAACTTTCCAAAGCTATGTAAAGGATACAATGAAGTCTCCACACCCTCTACTCCCTCATTCCCACTTCCTCTCTGCTGAGGTGACGGATATGTTTCCTTCCAGATATTCCATGTATTTACAAGCAAGTATGCTGGTGTGTTCATGTATATATTTCTCTTCCATAGCCTTACACAAATGGCAGCATGCTATACATACTATTCTTGTACTTCACCTTTTTTATTTAACAACTTATCTTGGAGATATTTCTGTATTACTACCGAGCTTCCTTGTATTTTTTTATGGCACAGCAAAGACAAGTGTCTATACAAATCTATAATACTCTGCATACTCTGTCTTTGTTTTACAACTCACCAGAGAAAGGAAAAGTAGCAGGGCAATTCAGTTTAGAATAACTGTAGGAAAGGAAATGTGGGACCAGGTCTGTGGTGATGTAATTGCAATGAACAGACTGCTTATATGATCCTCAATATGCAAGATGCTAAAGAGATTCTAACTCCTCACAGAGATGTTAATGGGTCTAAGTAGCCTATAGAATTCTTAGTGTCTTACCAGTGAGAGAAATAAAATTAAACAAAACAATCGATTCCCCAGACTGGAGATTAACCCACCAATACAATACATGTCTCTGTCATACTTACTCTGAGCTCTTTTGGGCCTGTATGGATTGAAAGCAAGTGTAGAGTACCCGACCAGTCTACACAAAAAAAAGAAAGAAAGAAAGAAAGAAAGAAATGTCACACAGAGAAAGATTAATATTGAAAAAGCTATAGCAATTTAGTAGACTCTAACCTAAAACTCAAAGGCCCCTCTGGAAGTGGAAGGTTAAAAGAGATTCCAAAGATGGAACATGCCATAAATCAGTTTCTGTAAGAAGGGTCATATACTGAGTCAACATGAGATGGCCATGCTCATGTGACAGCAGAGAATTGCTCATGAACATGAGAACCAAGGAACTAAGAACCAGAGCATTCAAACTGCTTTGTTGGAAGCTGACCAACTTATTCAACAACTATTTATAATGACAATAAATAAATTCATGATGACAAAGGCAAAAGCATTTCAAATGAAGTATAAAGTTCAAGACACTGAACTTCAATGTTTCTGGACAAGAGCGATTTTATGAAGAATATTCACTAATAACAGATTCTGAGAATATAACTAATGCACTAAACAACAGGACACACTTGACAGTCTTGACAAAATTTATACCTACAATGTTAAATAGTAATTTTCTTTTTGTTTGAACTGACACATAGTAAAACCTCTTGATATGAACATAGAATTCAAACAGAAGCACTCTAAAGAGGATGGCAAGACTAACCATTGATTGAGCTGCTTAACTTCTCTGAGCTTCAGTTTGCTTATCCATAAAATACAGATAATAATAATCCTCATAAGGCTTATTGTCAGGGTTAGAGCATATTCATGTAAAACACCTAATAAATAGGCACCATACAATAGGTGATAAATGGTAGCGCTTGTTACTATTATTAGCCAACAAAATAGATGCAGAATCCAGTCACCTCTCATTGCTTCCACTCCTACCACTGTGGTCAAACCTCCATCATCTCTTGTGTAGATTACTGCAATATCTTCCTAACTGGTTTCACAGATGCCATGGATTCTGCAACCCCTCCCTCCCTATGCTCCCACCTCCACCGCCTGTCCAGCCTATTATCAACACAGTAGCCAGAGAGATCCCATTAAAACATAAAGTCACCCTCTAGTGGCTTCCCAACTCAGAGTCAAAGCCAAGGTCTTTTAAGATCTGGCCCCCAGTTATCTTTCAGATCTCACTGTGGGATGACCAAATGAGTTATTGTCCAAACCAGGACACTTCCAAGAAGGCAAGGTGCTAACTGAATAGGAGCCTGGGATTATGGGGTAAAACTGGGACTGACAGAGGCAAACCAGGACATACGGTCCTAGTATTCCTCACTCTGCTGCAGCTACACTGACTTCCTCAATGTCCCCTGAACATGCCACACTCACCTCAGGGTCTTTGCACTGGCTATTTCCTCTGCCTGGAACACTCTTCCCCCAAGAAATCCACAAGACTTGCTCCCTCACTTTCTTCAGGTCCTGACTCAATGACCCTTCTCATTGAAACCTTCCCTGGCCACCCTATTAAAATTGCAGAAGTTTTTCTCTATTCTGTGTGTGTGTGTGTGTGTGTTTACACACACACACACACACACACACACAATACCTTTGTGTTTTTATCTTCTATGAAACAGGAAAAAATAAGTCCTACAAAGCCTTGATCCATCATCTGGTACATGGCTTGTGTACGAACATCTGCAAATAAACAAAAATAAAAATCTGCTGTCAATAAACTATATCTCACAGACACAAAGATTTAAAGAAAAGAGTGGCATACAATCCTCCCAGGATTCAGATTCTACAGGCAGGACAGGGACATATCCTAAGGACAATATGATTGTCAAAGTATAAACATTTTACTAGGCTAGGGAGATATTATGGAAGTCTGCAATTAAATAAGAAAACTTATTAATAACTCTAGGCTGCCTAGCCCAAGACTAGCCCTGCTCTGAAATGTGGCATAGAAAGGGAAAAACGGAAAACTTCAGTTAGCCCCCAAAACACTTGGTAATTTCTTCCAAGGGGACTCAAAGAGAAAGGAAGGCATTGGAAGGAGACAAAAAGATTTCCTAGAATAAGCCTTTTAATGGACAGCTTCTAGGGAAGTGAATATATTAGACTTGATACTAAAGAATGGAAGTGTAAAACTATTATGGAGGAAATTCTTACAGAGGAAACCATTGTATAGAAGCAACTGCAATAGAACTCCATTCCACATTTCAGGGAGTAAAAACAAAACCTCACTATATGGTTATGCAATTTTTGAAAAGAAATCATAAACAGGCACCAAACAACATTTGAAAGGATTAGTTAAAAGATTACCAAAAACTGAACAGAGGCTAAATTAAAGATCTGAAGTCTTCAGACCATTGTTTATGAAGAATACAAAAGATCAGGTAGTACAACAAAACACTGCAGAGCATGGTATGGTCCAGTGACTTATGCCCACTTAGTTTGGCAATATGTTCTTAAACATTCTTTGCATTTATACTTTTTGATCTGGATTGGGACTTCTCCCTGATGTGTTCCTAAGTAAAAAGGGAGACCAAATAGTACCCAGCAATGAATATGAAGGAAATACTGGCTGAACTGTTGCTGAAAATATATAGCATTGTATAAATGGTCTCTTTACAGCTATATGACCTTGATAAAATTTTAATACCTCTAAGCCTATTTCCTCATCAGTTAAATAAAGATAAACATCATCCCCACTCTCACAGGGTTTTGTACTTTTTTTAAATGCAAGAATTTTTTAGCACAATGCCTAGCACATCAAAGATACTTCGTAAGCATTCGTTCCATTCCATTTCACCCACAACCATTGTTGAAGAACTGCTATCTCAGTCTGAAAAGGATTACTGTTCATAACATGTCAAGATCACCAATGATCTATTATTATTGGCCCTCAATTTACCTGATTGCTCCCTCCTTGAAATACTGTCTTTACTTGGTCTCACACTCCCACTCTCCCCATCTGTCCTCTTAACTTCCTGGCTGATCTTTTCCAGTCTCTTCTGCTGAGTCCTTCTCATCTTCCCACTCTCAAAATATTGGCATGCCCAGGGCTCAGTCTTCAGTCCTTTTCTCTATCTGTACTCACAACCTGGGATTTCATCCAGTTCTGTGGCTTTAAACTCATCTCTATACTAGCCACTCCCAACTCCTGCCCAATAAGCTCTAGTCCCAGACTTCTAACCCGAACTCCAGATTCAGATATCCAACCGTCTACCTGACACTTTGACTTAGCTGTCTTAATACAGTGCTACTCTGAGTAGCAAGTCTGTGAACTATTCACTACCTGTTCACAAGGAGATAAGAGCTTGAGCTGGAAGGCAAATTAATGCACTGCTTCCTTCATTGAGAAAGTCTTCTTAAGGAAGAAAATGTCAGCTGAACTAAACAACGTGCTTAGTGACATAAGGATTTATGTTCAGTGTGAGCTCCTTATTTCATAGGTCACAAACAGCTCACAAACCAAAGCAAGTCTATGTGGGTATCACTTGCCAGACATTTGAAACTCAACATGTCCAAAACCAAACACTTGATTTCCCCCACAAAATCTACAACCTTCCCCATCTCAATCAGCAACAACTCCATCCTCCCAGGTGTTCAAGTCAAAAAACTTGAGAACATTTTTGACTCCTCTCTTTGTCTCATATCCTATACCCAATTCATCAGCAAATCCTGTTAGTTCTACCTTCAAAACATAAATGGAATTTGATTACTTCCTACCACCTCCTCAACTACTACCATGATCCAACAAAGCCACCATCATGTCTATCTTGGATCACTGCAACAGCCGGCTATCACCCTACAGTCTGTTCTCAACCTAGTATCCAGTGATCCTTTGAAAATTTAAGCCAGGTCAGATCACGTCACACCTCTGCTGAAAACTCGCCAATGGCTTCTGATCTCACTTAGAGTAAAAATTAGAATCCACAATAGCTTACAAGGGTCTACAAATCTTCTGGTGCCCCCATTAGCACCCTGCCCTCATTTCCCATCACTCTCCCCATTCCTCACTTGGCTCCAGCCACAGTGGCCTCGCTGCTTTTCCTCGTACACTCCTCAGGGCACTGGCTGTTTCTCTCTGCCTGGAATGCTCTTCTCCCAGATATTTGCATGACCAACTCCCTCACTTCGTTCAGGTTTGTGCTCAAAATTTTAGTTCAGCCTTCACTTATTCTATACCTCGTCCTAATGGAGTTTCCATCTAAGTCTGCTAAGAAGGGCATATAAATGTACTGTAATATCGAAAAATTTGTTTATAATGATTCGAAGGAGTCCTGACTTGTAACCTCTAGAACAGAATGCTTGTTTAGGAAAATACAATTTGTTAAAATGAGTGGTTGTAGAAAACTGCTTAATTATATTTGTCATGGGAGGTTGATTTGACCCACCAACTCTGTTGATAAATTAACTCACTATGACATCACTGTTTGTAGCAGTGCTAATTACCTCACTGTATGAAAGAATTGAGCAGATCTTAAAATTAGGAACATAGCTACAGGCACATTTCTCCTTTTAATATGCACTTATAAGGACAATAAAGTGAATACAAGAGTAACTTAAAAATAGTGCCAAGTCTCACGAGATTTATGAAATAGCCTGCACTATTTAAATTACTTCCCCTTTTCTTTTGCAAATCACGTATAGGTAAAATTTGCGTAAGCTAATTGTGTGGGTGTGATGTACTTCAACTACATCTCTTTCCCCACCACCAAACCTACACTTCCTCCTCCATTTCCTGTTTTCAAAAACAGCATTCCCACTTAACCAGTGAAAGCAAGATGCTGTGGAATGCCTAGGCCCCTGATTCATACAAACCTCAGTTCAGATACTGACCCTGCCACTTACTGGCCATCTGGTTTTGGACAAGGTATTTCAACTCTGAGCCTTACCTTAGTTTCTTCCCTTAAGAGCCACACACTCTTCGTGATTACTTGGAAAGTGTTTCAAAAAGTAGAGAGTGGTTGTAGTGTCATATGCCACATAAGATGGATACTTAAAAGGTTCACTAGATTTTCAACATGGATGTCACTGATGCCTTTAGCAAGATCCACTTCAACAGAGTGATGGGCTAGAAGCCAGACTAGAGTGGGGTGAGGCATGTGCGTGAATGGTAAGCAAGTGTAAATGTAGATACCTCTTTGAATTTGGCAGTGAAGGTGAGGGGAAAGACAAGATGGACCTGAAGGGGAAGCGGGATTGGGAGAAGTGTTTTTTGCTGTGTTTTCTTCAACATGTGAAGTATGGACATGTTTGAAAGCTCCATGAAAGCAAAGACCTTGTTTCTCCCATTCACTGCTTTATCCCTCTCACCTTGAAGAGGGCCGGACACATACTGGACACCCAAATTTATTTGCTGAAGGAACAAATAAATGATGGGAAGAATCCAGTACAGCAGAAAGGGACATAAATGTAGGACAGAGAAGCACAATGAAGAGTGTAAGGTTCTTGAGGATGTGGAAGGCAAAGACTGAGAGCAGGAGTGGATGGATGGGTATTAGCTGAGAGGACACATTCTCTATTATAAGAGGAGGGAAAAGGAGAAGATGGGCACAGTGATAAGTAGGTGCGTAACGAGAAATGGAGAAAAGCCCTCTCTAATGACTCCTGTTTCCTCTTATTAAAGTAGGAAGCAGTGTTATCTGCTGAAAGCGAAGGAGGCAGTGGGGAGTTCAGAGGTTTGGGAATGAGAAAAAGGCTGAGAAACCAGTACAGATTGAGATTAAAATGACATGAGACTAAATGCCATGCATGATCTGAGATTGGATCCCAGAGTGGAAAGGAAAAATTGCTAAAAAGACAGAATTAGGATAATTGGCAAAAATTTAATAATAAGCTGTGTACATTACATAATAGGATTATATCAGTATCAAATTTCCTGATTTTGATAATTGCACTGTGGTTATGGAAGTGAATATCCCTGTTCTTGAGAACTACACAATGAAGTATTTAGGAGTAAAGGAGCATCATGTCTACAACTTACTCTCGGCATGTGCATGTGGATGGAGAAAGAAAATGATAAAGCAAACATGGCGAAAGGTTAATTGTTGAATCTGGCTCTCTACACTATTCTTGCAATTTTTCTGTAAGCCTGAAATTCTTTTAAAATCAAGTTTTAAGGTTTTGGTGTGTGTGCTTGACCCCTGCTCCTCCGCTGCAAACTCTAACCCAAAGCTAAAACACTCACTTTATACTCTTGAAGGAATGACTTACAACTCTGAAAGTGGGTTATCAAGCTCTTCTACTTCAACTAGTTTCCATTCTATTCCTTACGTGTAAAACTTTGTCCTTTGTACATTTTATTGCTATGGTGGGGAACATAATTTAACATTGTTAGAGTTTCATTATTTACTGTGCCTTTTATTACAGAATGACCTATCTTCTCTCACCCTTTTGCTAATGATGTAACTGCTACCTTTATTTTCTCCATATAGCTTAACCTAGCCCACTTTTTTGTTCAAAATTTTAGGTTTGTAGCTTGTCTTTAATGACATCACATTGGCCCCATGGCTTAGCGGTTAAACGCGTGCGCTCCGCTACTGGCAGCCTGGGTTTGGATACCAGGCGCGCACCGACGCACCGCTTCTCTGGCCATGCTGAGGCCGTGTCCCACATACAGCAACTAGAAGGATATGCAGCTATGACATACAACTATCTACTGGGGCTTTGGGGGCGGGGGGATAAAAATAAATTTAAAAAATGACATCATATTATTGTGTTCATTTCTTAATCCCGAGGCTTTTATCTTTACAGGTGTTTACCCTGTTTAAATTTCCTGGTACAAAAGTTCTATGTGGACTACACCCCATTTCTTTATTGTTGTTACTTTGTTTTCCCCTTAGTACTTTAACTGTCTTTCCTCTCCACAAAATCCTCAAGTCCAAGACAGCAGAAACCGTGACTATATCATTCCATACAGGTATCCAATAAATTTGTTGAATAATCATTTATGTAGTAATCATTTTGAAATATGCTTAGAACACAGTCTTATTTAACCCACTGGAACATAACCTAATTCTACTAATTACCTTATCATAAAGAACATTAAAATTCTTGTTACACACAGTCACATCCCTCTCCCTTCCTAAAGCTTTTCTTAATCGGGAAAAAAAAAATTTCGCTCCTTCTCATTTGTCATTCTTTAACATAGCTTGGAATTCCTTTCCTATTAAACATACTTACTGTACACACTTTAAATCAACCTGTTTTTATTCATCAGTCATTTTCTTCCAAGGCTTACTAATACAGGGCCTCTGCACTTAATTCTTGAACTGCTGTTTTGGAGATGAGTTGTATCTTTGCATCTACAAAGTCCCATAGACTCTGGAAATCTACAACAATGTATTCCTTGTAAACATCAGCTTAGTTGGGAGACGATTTTTTCTTTAGTTCTAGCCATAGTTTTATTGCCACAGATATTCTGAGATCTGTTGAGAGACCTGATGTATCCTTATTGTTAATCCTTCGAATGTTGTCTGCCTTTCAACTTTAGATATTTAATCGTACTGTGTCCTCGAGAGTTTTACAGATAAATGCTTTGGTATCTATCTTTGGGAAGCATGGGACAAAATGCCATATACATGATTTCATATACTGCTTTTTTTTTAATAATTTTATTTATTATTATTTATTTTTCCCCCAAAGCCCCAGTAGATAGTTGTATGTCATAGCTGCACATCCTTCTAGTTGCTGTATGTGGGACACCGCCTCAGCATGGTCAGAGAAGTGGTGTGTCGGTGAGCACCCAGGATCCAAACCCGGGCCGCCAGCAGTGGAGTGCGCACACTTAACCGCTAAGCCACGGGGCCGGCCCTCATATACTGCTTTTAACAACTCTGAGACCAATAACATGCTCTCCTTTTCCGTCCAAGAGGAAACCATGGCACAGAGAAGTCAAAAGATCTTCTCAACTAGTAAGTGACTGAAACGAGATTCTAACACAGACCTGTTCCGTAACAGAATCCAAAGCTGGTGTTTCCAGCTCTCATGCTATGATAACTCTCTGAACTTTCTATTTGCAATTTAAAAAATTAACGATCTTAGAAGTGTTTTTGAGCATAGGCTTTATTACATTTTCTGTTATTTGTTTCTTTTGCTTACCCAGTCAGGTGTTATTATTTCCAGGTAAGATCTCAATGCTCTAGTCTCCAAATCTATTTTGTGTTGAATTATTTTCATTTGGCTCCTTAACCATTTCATAATTTAGAGGGGTTTTTTTCAGTTACATTCTGCAGTATCCTTGTTTTCCTAACTGTTTTTTGTAAAGATGTCATTTGCCCTACCTGCTCTCACCACCTCCCCAGGTTCTTGTTTAACAGCTTGGATCTTCTACCTAGGAGGAAACTTCAATCATTCCCTGAATTCTGAACACTTTTTGGGTGTTCCACTTTAGAGATCAATAATTTTTTTTTTCCTAAGTTCTTAACGGAGTTTCTTTTTTACAAAACATTATATCTTTTCCATTCTAATTTATTACCATAATGACAATGATCATTCAGGAATATACACTCCAAACTTTCTTTCATTAGTTTTTGGTACTTATTTCTTTCTGGCTAGTGGCATTACCACAGGAGAAATTTGAGGCCAATCTAATTTTAGCATTGATGGTGGCAGGAAAACAACAGCTATTATTTTGAGGTAAAAGTTAGATGTGATCAAACATGTAATTTATTCAGTGATATTAAGGTTTTACAGGAATATACTTATAACTATAAAAACAACCTTTATTGGGACATTAGTGAGCCAACTAAAGAACTTGAATGAGGTCAGTAATTTAAATGATAGTATTATATCAATGTTAATTTCTCAATTTTGATAAATGCACTGAGGTTATATAAGAGAATATCTTTGTGTTTAGGAAATTCACACCAAAGAGTACTTAGGGATAGAGGGGAATAGTATCTGCAACTTACTCTCAGGAAAAAAATTTTACTCAGACACACACATACATATACATATACACATGTATACAGAGAGAATGACACAGCAAATGTTGCAAAATGTTAACATTTGGCAAATCTGGGGGAAGAGTATTCAGGAATTCTTTGCACCATTTTATCAACTTTAAGTCTGAAATTATGTCAAAATAAAAGTTAAAAACACCTCTAGTTATTGTAAGTTCTAGCTTCAAACTTTTTCTTTTCCATTGAAAAAACTGTTTTGATAATAAATTTTTAGTTAATACAGGACATCTTAGGTATGTCACTATTATGTCACAGCAGGTCAGGTAAATGTCTGTCAGCAAAAACAGAACAAGTCTATTATCTCCCTTATTCTAAATTGGTATTTAACTGGGGCTATGCACTGGAATTCCTTGAGTTTTTCACAGTATACCCACCTAGGACTCACTCCCAGAGGTTGTTACAGTAGGTCCAGGTTAGGAAAGATGAATTTAGGGCAGGTACATTTTACAAAAGCTCTCCCAGGTGACTCTCCTGACACTGAGAACCGCTACTCCAGATGCAGGACCATTTGTCTGCTGTTGATTTTTTGGCAGTCATATCATGTAGATGAATATAGAATTTTGCGATCAACTCAAGCCCTTATGACTAGAAATAGAACCCCACAGTGGAAAGAGCACAGACTTGAAAGAGACCTAGGTTCAAACCTCAGCTCTGCCACTTAACCCCTGTGAGCCTCTGTTTACTCCTCAGTACAATGGGGGGAAGACCTCTAATTCACAGGTTACCATGAAGATTAGAGGAGAAAACGTTTGTAAACCATTAGCACATAGTTAAGTGCTCAAGAATGTTAATTCACTTTCCCCAAGTGAAGTTATTCTATTTCTCTCAAGAGAGTCAGGTAGAGGGTCGGCCCCGTGGCTTAGCGGTTAAGTGCGTGCGCTCCGCTACTGGCGGCCCAGGTTCGGATCCTGGGCGCGCACCGACGCACCGCTTATCCCGTCATGCTGAGGCCGCGTCCCACATACAGCAACTAGAAGATGTGCAGCTATGACATACAACTATCGACTGGGGGTTTGGGGGAAAAATAAATAAATAAAAATTTAAAAAAAAAAAAAAAAACAAGAGAGTCAGGTAGAGGGGGCTGGCCCAGTGGCGTAATGGTTAAGTTCACATGCTCTGCTTCAGTGGCCCGGGGTTCGCAGCAGTGCGTAGGGCGCGGACCTACGCACTGCTCATCAAGCCATGCTGTCGCAGCATCTCACATACAAAATAGAGGAAGAAGGGCATGGATGTTAGCTAAAAGAGGAAGATTGGCAAGGGATGTTAGCTCAGGGCCAATCGTCCTCACCAAAAAAAAAAAGAGTCAGGTAGAGACAAAAAAAAGACCATGATTCAAGAAAACTGGTAAAGATAAAAAGAGAGAAAACAATTTTGTTACATTATACTGATTAGAGAGGTGAGGAGGTAGGTTGAGAGCTCCAACAGCTAGGATGGAATATGTGTTAAACAGAGACTGTAAACATCAATTTTGTAAACTGCACCCTTCACACCTTGGAGTCTTCCGAATGGGAGTGTACTGGACAGTGATATTCAGCAATCAGCAATTTGCAGTTACAGTTCAATTTTTTTTGGATATCAGCCAATTGTCAGGCTTTAGTTAGTCTTGATTTCCTGAATACAGTCAAAATGGAGTACTGAAAATTTTATCTCTATTAAAAACAATCAATATGACATAAATCATCACTTTTAAAACGTAGCTAAATAAAAATAAGGACACCTGCTTAAAGACAGTTAAATTTTGGTTTAAAATAACCATAGCTCATGTAATGGAGAGGGAAAAATGATATTCATTTCTAAGAACAATAAACATTGCAAGCCCATAATACTTACCAACATGTGAAGGCCAAACCGTTATATGAGGATGGGAATGATACCAGCCCACAACTCTCATGGGGCGACCTGTTAGTTCAGCCAACCTGTGTGTCTGTCAAGGTATTTTCATCTCGTGGGAACAAAATTTGTGATGCTAATAAGGGCTGAGAAAGTATCTTGAGGTGTGAAATAAACCTATTACAATTTAATGTCAACAAAAGAATGAAATAAGGTTGATGCCCAGAATTTCCCAGACTTCCCATTTTAAGCCAAAGGTGTTCCTTTTTTTAAACAGATTCCATTAGGTTTCCATTATTGTATATAGTTACATCCTCTTAATCCAATTTTGCTAATGTTTCATCACTCAAACACTTAAATCACTGTGCTATATGAAAAGAAGCTTATCTAAACCTTTGGAAGTCACTTACATTATTAACTTGAGTAATCTTCTATCCTCTCTACTCCATCCTACTCCCATTTTTGAAAAAAAATATAAGATTTAAAAAATTCATTTGATTTCTCTCTGGCAGGCTGCCAATGGCAACAATAGCAACTAGGGCGGTTTCAGACACTAAATGAACAAAGACCCCCGGTTTAGTCTCTCCATTTGTCTAGAAACATCCTCCAAGAAAATATGTTCCTCTTTTGCTCTAGAAATAAAAATTTCCCATAACTCTATCTGAGGCTCTAACTTAAGATAAGAACTCCACTCCGAGATAAGCAGCTGGCCGTTGTGCTGCTGCACACTGAGACTGCAGTTGCCATCTGGTAAAATGCTGATTCATTTTCCTGCAGATCACTTACATTAAAACACAATAATCCTTTCCATACATCTAAGTCTGAGAAAGAATACTTTGTAAATAATTTTTTATTTTCAAATGCCAAGAGAAGTTACTTCTCTAAGCCCATTTCTTCAGCTACAGACTGGTAGGAATTCCGCTTCACACAGCAAGGTGCTCAGCATATGCCTGACGCCTAGTAAATGCTTAACAGACAGTAACTGTAATGTCAAAGTGCAGTAACTTGCAATAGTGTGTCCCCCCTATTTTGGGAATGGACCAGGGACCGGACTTATCCTCCTGCTTGAAACAAACTGGACAATATATATGAAACAGGAAGGCCAGCAGACAGGAAACAAACAAGGTGAGCCCTCGAGAGAACTTCCAGGCCATAGAGCAGGAAGGGGAACTGAAGCAGAGCCCAGAAGATGCCCTGGGTTTAGGAGATGGATAGGAGAGTCCAGGCAGCTGGAGTTTCTAAAGCAAAGGACTGGAGAGAAGAGAGCGGCAGAGGGAGAGAACCCTGCATACCCGCAGGGAGTACCCTGCATGCTCCGCAGGGAGCATTCCACAGACCACTGACGAGCACAAGTGTGGGAGGACACTACGCAAGGGAGGCCAGGGAAAGGAGACCTCCCTGCCCCGAAAGGATGAAAGGTAACTATGCCCAGTGCTCAACTATGCCCTGTCCCAGGACAGGGACTAGCAGCTATCCCCGCTTCCGTCCCCCCCAGCCACAATGGCAAACCTCACAATTCAGGAGGCATCGGGCAGGGTGCTCAGAAGGGTCTCGCCTCAGGAGTGTGGAAAAAAATGACTCTGACACTGAAAGCTGCTCTGGTCCCACGTAGCAAATCTTCAAAGCAAGACTCAAAAGGATCCGACTGTTTCCAAGTCACTTAACAGTATCCCAGAACAAAGCTCATGAAGATGTTGAGGAATACAAAGGTACCCAGCACCCAAGGGAAAATCATAATGCCTGGCGTCCAATCGAAAATTACCAGGCATGCAGAGCAGCAGGAAAACCCAACCCATAATGAGGAGATGGAGAACAGATTAGCATGTGGTTGCCAGGGGTAGGAATGGGGGGAGGGGCAGAGTGAAAAAAGCCCATCTCAAAAGGTCACATAATATATGATTCCACTTATCAAACATTCTTGCAATGACAACACTATAGAGATGGAGAACAGATTGGTGGCTGTCACGGGTTGGGGAGATGAGGGTGAGGGGGTGGCTGTGATTACACAGGGGGAGTATGAAGCAGATCTTTGTGGTGATGGAACAATCCTGCATCTTGACTGCTGTGGTGGTTATATCTATCTACATATGTGACAAAATGGCATAAAACAACACACATTGTATCAATGCCAATTTCCTGGTTTCCATATTTTACTGTAAATTATGTAAGATATAACCTTTGGGGGAAACTGGGTGAAGGGTACAGGGACCTTTCTATACTATTTTTGCAACTTCCTATGAATCAATAATTATTTCAAAATAAAGAGTTAAAAAAAGATGCAAAAGGTACACACCATAAGAAGAGACTGATACATCTGATTACATAAAAGTAGAAAAACAACAATTTGATTGGAAAAACACACACACACACCATGAATAAGCTGAGAAAAATCACTACCCTCATCACAAAGGGCTAATTTTCTTAACATATAGAGTGCCTATAAATTATTACAAAAAAGCTTTCCAAATCAATAGAAAAATGGGCAAAGGAAATAACCAGATAATTCAGAGAAAACAAATGACTCAAAAATTAAAAGCTGATCAAATTTACCCATAATAAGAAAAATGCTAATGAAAATCCCAAGAAATAAGATATTATTTTTTGCTGATCAGGTTGGCAACAAAAACTTTCATCTACAGAGCGTGGTAGCACAAAAACAAAACTTTGATAACACACAATGTTTGTGAGGGTGTAGGGAAACAGGTACTCTTGCATAATGCCAGAGGGAAACTGGTAAAACAGCTAGCTACAAGTGCATATAGCCTTTGCCCTAGCAATTCCAATTCCAGGAATTGATCCTACAGATACACGCACACATTTGTGAAATGCAGTATGCACAAGGTTATTCACTGCAGCACTATTAGTAAAAGAATACAAACAACCTAAACATCTGCATGAGGATGGCACAGTCATCCAGGGCTGTATTATGCAGTCATCAGAATAAGGCATCTCTATATATTGATGTGGACAATTGTCTAGATACACTGTTAGGTAACGTCATAAGCTATCCTATGTATTAAATACTTTAAAAAAAAAGAAAATATTCACATATGTTTCTTTATGCACAGAATTCACCTGTAAGGATACATGAAAACCTGATAACCCTGGTTATGTCCAGGGAGGGACCATGGGGAAATTGGGGCACAGAGACTGGAGAGTAGTACTTACTCTGTACACCTTTTTGTGCCTCTTAAAGTTTGTACCATGCATGTGTACTACCTATTTTTATTTTTATTTATTTTTTTTTGTGAGGAAGACCAGCCCTGAGCTAACATCTGTTGCCAATCCTCCTCTTTTTGCCAAGGAAGATTGGCCCTGGGCTAACATCCGTGCCCATCTTCCTCTACTTTATATGGGATGCCACCGCATCATCGCCTGACAAGCGGTGCGTCCATGTGCGCCCAGGATCTGAACCTGCGAACCCCAGGCCGCTGCAGCAGAGCACGCGCACTTAACCACCACGCCATCGGGCTGGCCCCTATACTACCTATTTTTAAAAGTTACTTTTTAATGACTACAAAATTAACTTAATCCAAAAGAATGACAAATTACCAAAACCACTGATGCAACTTTAACTTGCTATAGCTGAGGTATGGAGTCCACATCACAGGAAGCAAATGTCCCATTTGATCATTCTTTGGTTATACTTAACAAGGAATACTGCATTCAGTTCTCAGCATTTCATTTTTTTTTTTTTGCTGAGAAAGACTGGCCCTGGGCTAACATCCATGTCCATCTTCCTCTACTTTATATGGGACGCCGCCACAGCATGGCTCAACAAGTGGTACGTTGGCGCATGCCTGGGATCTGAACCGGCGAACCCCGGGCCGCCGCAGCGGAGCATGCGCACTTATCGGCTTGCACCACCAGGTTGGCCCCAGCATTTCATTGTTCTTGAGAGGCAGCCTCAAAAGAGAATCTCTCCAAAGGATAGAAACCAAGATAGTGAAAGGCCTAGAGATTAAATGATATTTGGAAAACTGCGGCAGGGGGGGAGCAGGGGAGATTGGAGATGGGCAGAGGGGGAGTAGGGAGGAAGGAGGAGGAAACTCTCCATAGAGTTTATTGTCATAGGATTTGACCCCGGGATCTTCTGGCATTTAAGGGCAAGAATGTTAGAAATTCCTAATTTTTCCAATAAAAGCCACTCAAAAGGGGAAATGGAGAGAAATTCTGATTAACCAAGCAATTGGATCTAAGGGGTAAATATGAAAACTGGGAAAGAGTCACCAGGAAGAAAACCTGTGAAATCTCCTAAAGCAAGCTAAGGCAGCAAACAGAGGACCCTGGCCTGGAAGCCCCAGAGCACATAAAAGCTTCTTATCAACCAAGAAGGATATCTCCGCCTCTGTTGAGGCTGCAGACAGCTGCTCTGGAGAAATTTCCACTCGATCCTTCCTCTTATCGGAACGTCGCAAGATGATGACAGAATGAATGTGAATAATTCTGACGGTGTCAACCTAAAGGAAAATCCACAGAAATATTTACTTCTGTTTCTCTCCAATATCTCTCCCTGCAGTTACAGAATTGCATTATGTTACATTATCAGGTAAAAGATTCCATTTTAGAAAAGTGACATTTTTCTCATGAATAATGAAATGTTTCAAATAAAGGACATCCAACCTCAATATATACATTTCACAACAAAAATATAAAGGCTAATACTTAGATCAAGGAAGGACTTTTTGAATGATCACCTAATAACCATTTGATTTACAACTATGTGCAAGAATGTCACACACAACAATCCAAGTCAGAGTACTGACACTTGGATTAAGTGTCATACGTGATGTAATGTAGTAAATCAGTGCTACAGGAGCTCAGAGGAAAGGAGTCACTTCAATTAGAAAAAATCTTTACAGCAAAGGCAGACGAGTGTAGCTATTTCCTGATTGCTCCGCGTGTGTGCATGTGCATGTGTGTGTGTAGACAGAATTTCTGTAGATGCCAAATGGATGTGAGTGAGATGTTTGGGAGACAAGTTAGCCGACTGATTTAAATACAGAACTTGAGGTGGAATGGCAGACAGTAAGGCTAAGAAGGAAGGCTAGAGTGAAAATGTGCAGGGCCTCAAATACCAAGCCATCATCTGCAGGATGAACTGGAAGGAAGGAAATTATTTCAGATAGCCTGGACAAGAAGTAATAATAAAGTACTGGACTAAGTGGATGGCAGAGATAGAAGAAACAGATTTGAGATTCATTAAGAAGGAAGAATCCACAAGATTATGGACCATGGTTGATAGAGGACAGGAAATTGTGAAGGATGACTTTCAGGTTTCAAGGTTGAAACCTAGTGGAACACAAGAGGCAGATCTAAGTTTAGAAAGGATCAGGAAGGAAGGAAGATTAGCATGTTTTCAGATGAGCTGATCTGTAATCAAAGGATGTAAATAAAGGCAAGGAACAGTGCAGGGAAAGGGAGCAGAGGTCCAGGCCTGAATCAAGGGGGATACCCACACTTAGGATGGGGTACAACAAGAGGAGCCAGGAAAGAGGACAGAGAAGTCAAAACCAGAACAACGAAATGGTTCAAGAGTTTCAGGGGAAAAGACAGGTGTGGCACTGCCAGATATTAAGGGACAAGGTGAAATATGAGAGGAGTCTTTTGAAGTAAGCTATAGACCTCCACTGTGTAATACAGCAGCCATTAGGCACATGTGTCTATTGAGCTTGAAATGTGGTCCCCTTTCATGCCTTTTCTTCACCTGGTGAACTCTTTTATAGCCTATAAATTCCCTGCTCATCCTGTAAAGAATTAATCATTCTCCCCTCCCATGTGACTTTTTTTTTAATAATATACACACATTTCTGCTATTGTTGACATAATTTTCTCCTCTACTAGAACCCTAAGCTCCTTAAAGGCAGGGAACATGTTTTAGTTATGTTTTTATCCCCAGCAACCATACAATGTCTGGCAGGTACAGAGTACACAATAAAGGGAATCAAAAGCAGACATAGAAAGACACTTGACCTTCCAAGGAGCAACAAGACAAAGAGCTGACTTTTCACTAGAAACAATGAAAATCTAAAGAGAACGGGTGACAGGTCAGAATGCAAAAAGAAAAGATCTGCCAACGGAGAATTCTATATCTAAAGAATACATCCTTCAAAAATGAAAGCAAAATAAAGACATTTTCAGACACAAAAAATTGAGAGAATTCATTATCAGCACAGAAATACTAAAGAGTTCTTCAGGCAGAAGGAAAATCCCAGATATGAAGGAAGGAATGAAGACTACTGTAAAGAGTAAAAAAAAAATATGTGAATAAATACACAACAGTAATAACAATGTCATGTGAGGCTTAAAATATCCATAGAATTAAAATGCATGACAACAATAATCTAAAAGGTGGGAGAGTGCTAATGAAATTATATATCAATAATTACATTAAATGTAATTGGACTAAATACTCCAATTAAAAAGATTATCAGACTGGATCTTTCTTTAAAACAATATGCTGCTAGGGGCCAGCCTGGTGGTGTAGTGGTTAAGTGTGCGCCCTCCGCTTTGGCGGCCCGAGGGTTCGCAGGTTGGGATCCTGGGCACGCACCGACACACCGCTTGTCAAGCCACGCTGGGGCAGCATCCCATAGAAAGTAGAGGAAGATGGACACAGCTGTTAGCCCAGGACCAGTCTTCCTCAGCAAAAAGAGGAGGATTGGCATCGGATGTTAGCTCAGGGCTCATCTTCCCCACACACAAAAAAAAGAAAAACCAATATGCTGCTAAGAAGAGACACACTTTAAATATTAGAACACAGAAAGCTAAAAATAAAAGGATGGCAAAAGATATGCCATGCCAACACTAACTAAAAAGATAAGGTCACTGAACTCATGAAGTTTAATATCTAATTTGGAAGGTACAAACTGACACAGAATTCAAGATGAGGGTATGAACTCTGGAAAAATAAAGTTACATCGTTATGATTGGGAATGTATTTCAGTAGGAGTTGATGCCCAGGGTGAATTTTCTCTCTCCACTCAGAGGTTTCAGTGCCTAAGAGGAATGAGCAAAAGAAGTTCAGGATCAGATGGTGAGAGCAGCCCAGGAATAGATGAAAAACAAAATAAAACTAGCCTAAATTAAGGCCACAAAGGACTGACAGGTGTCCCTGAAAGCCACAGGTAGCCGAAGGGCTTGAGGAACAGACTGTTACCGTCATAGTCACATAACAAATAAGATATTCCAGCTTGGCTAGATCCGCCCCTATACCTTTTCAATCTTGGAATTAAGGTACTAAAACCTGGTTCCTTTTGCTCCTCTGTCTTGGTACAGAACAAGGGTTGGCAGACTATGGCCTGCCGGGCCTCCCTCGGGCCAAATCTGGCTACATTCATCCGTTTTATGTATTGTAGCTGCTTTTGCGCTCCAGTGGCAGAGCTGAGTAACTGCAACAGAGACTATATGGCCCGCAAAGCAAAAAATATTTACCATCTGGCCCTTTACAGAAAGTGCACGCTCCCTGACCATGGCTCTCCATGGGTCACAGGCAGGTAACACGAATTTCCTATTGTAGGGAACGTATGTTCATTCACACAACATGTATTTATCGAGTACATACTATATGCGAGGCACTACATGAGGGCCTAAGTATACAAAGATAAACAGGATACACTAGTCACATCCAGGAAGAGAGACAGGTAAACAACTCTAAGACAACAGATAAGCACTGTAATAGATCTGCCCAAGGAGCCAGTGTAGCACAGAGGAGGCTATCTAAACTAGCCTACAGGTCAGGGCAGCTTTCTTAAAGGAGGCAGGTGGCACTTGGGCTGAAGTGCAAGGGATAAGGAGTTAGCCAAGCAGAGAAGGAGAGGGATGCAGTCCAGGCATAATACCCAGCAGATACAAGGAGTGAAACAGCACAGCATAATCTGGAAACTGACATAATATACTACCATAGTTAGAACTTGGATCCACATGGAGAAATCTAAGGAGATAAACAGAAATGATATTACGAAGGGCCCTGAATGCTTCACTAATGAGACTTCATCCTAAAGGTAATGGGAAAACCACTGAATTTTAAGCAGAGGTATGTCAGACTTAGATTCTCTAAAGATCACATCCCAAGCAGGAGGATGGCAACTTTGAGGCAAGGAGACCAGCGGAGAGGCTACCGCGGTATTCGAGGAAAGTAGTGATAATGACCTCAAATAAGGTAGAAGCAGTTGAGATGAAGTGTTGGAAACAAATATGAAAGCAATCTAGGTTAATGGTTCTGAATGGCAGGCAGTGGTTCCCAACTTGGCTGCACATTAGAATCACCTGAGGAGATTTTCGAATTCTTGCTGCCCAAGTCTCACCCCAAACCAAATGAGTCAGCATCAGGATTTTGTAAAGATTACTGGGTGATTCCAAAGTGCAGCCAGGCTTGGAAACTACTGTGGCAGGAGGAATGCTGGAGAAGTGGGTTTGAGGAAGAGGAAAGGTTCAGTTTTGAACATGTTAGTTAAAGATGCCTGTGTCTAGCTAAACTTGGATGTCCAGCAGGCAGTTGAGTATGAAGTTCTGGAGCTTGGGATAATTTATACTAGCATCTATTGGGCATTAACAACAACAACAACAGTCACAGTGGCCAATATTTATGGGCTACCTACCATGTGTCAGGCACTTGGAAAAGTGTTTTTCATGTATTAATTTAATTAACTCTCCTAATGACCCAATGAGGTTGGTACTAGTGTTACACCCATTTTACAGATGAGTGTTTTACATACATTACCCAAATCCAACCCTCCCAACAACTCTATGAGGTTGGTGGCTGTCATTATCCCTGTTTTACAGATAAAGAAAGCGAAGCTCACAGATGTTAAGTAACATGCCCAAACTCACACAGTAAGTATCAGAGAAAGGATCTGAAGACAGATCTTTCTAACCTCAATGTCTGTTGCAGCTAAAACCACAGGGAAGGTAATGTTGCCCAGGAAGGCATTCTGGGAAAAGAAGGAGGCCAAGGCAGAAACTTTGAGAATACCAATATTTAATGCTCAGGCAGAGGAGGAAGAATCCATAAAGGATGGGAGGGAGGGGGAGGATAGGGAGACACAGCAAAAACAAAACACAAACAAAAAACACCCCATGAGAGTTCAGAGTTCCGAGGAAAAAGATTAAGTAAGATAAGCACCAAGAAATAACGCACTGATGTAGCAATGAGGAGGTGGCTGGAGAGGTAGAACTGGAAATAGGACCTTGATAGGTTTGACTGGAGAAGGTAAAGAAGAAATGATTGTAGCCTATTCTTTTAAGAGGTCTGGCTATTAAAGGAAGGATATAAGAGTAGTGACTACAGGAAGATACAGGATTGAGAAGTTATTTTTCTTTCCTTTCTGAAAATGATAGTAATTTAAGAACATTTTTATCCTAAAGGAAAAGAGCCAGATGACAGCGAAAGGCTGAAGACTCAGAAGAGAGATGGGATATTTGATAAGCAAGGTCTTTGAAGACCGTAGTCAGAACTTGCAGCTCTGGATAGGAAGTGGACTTCTTCCCTTGATGTGGAAAGAAAGGAGGCCAAGTGGTTCACATGGAGAAGGATTTGTATGTGGGGGTAATAAGTAGATGCAGTTGTTGCCAATAGCCTTGAACACCTCCATCATCTGCTTGGTGGGAGGAGAGGATGTAATGTATTTTTATTGTATTTTACAAAAGCATTGGTCTGCAACATATTGGAAAAAAATTAACTGGTCCTATACCATGATTAGGTTGAGAAGCATTATACTAGACCATAAAGGCTAGAGCATGCCAGAAAAGGCAGGGTGGGAGCTCAGACAGGAGAAAAGTCAAGGTAGACTAAGAACTATGAGCTGTGGATAGTTGGCCTGTAAGAAGAGAGGACTTGCCCGAGTAGATATTGGGATTTGGGATAAAGAGATAACAATCATGTGAACCAGCCAAAGTCTCAAGGAAGGTGGGAGAATGGCCAGAAAATAGGCAGATGACAGCAAGGAGGAGAGCTGACAGTGACTACTCATCTTGCTCAAGTAGTAATAATTCACTACAAATGAAAATTAGGTCCCTAATTCCCAGTGAGTAGATTCTCCATCTGATTTTACTAGAGAGAACAGCCACCCAGCTACAAATGTGGGCCTGCACAAACTGGATTAATCCCTGGCTGAGCTCATCAAACACAGTACAGAAATCCCTCCCCAACTGCAAATTTCCATCATGCACAATTCCAGCACACATACCTTTTCAGCAACTGTGCGCATTTCAGTTCCAGTATATGTAAATTTAGAGTCACTCCTTTTGGGGATAAATTAGAAAAAAAGGTAACTGAAGTTTGGAACATAAAAAGGTATTAAAGGAAAATAACAGGATTACCAGTTTTTGCAATGAAACCTTAGCAGAGACAAAGGAAGAGGAGGAGAAGTAAACTGAGAATAGAGCTGTGCTCATACATCTGCTAGAAACAGCCTGGGACACATGCAGAAGTGGCTCAGTGCCTAAAGTTTTTTCACCGGCAAAGCTAAACTCCTAGAATCCTGGGTATTAAGGAGGTGGACTTGAGAAGCACATACTCTGCTATGCTTTGAAGTTTAAATAAAGGTAACCCAAAGCTTTTGCCACCTCAAGCATTCAAGCTACTGGGGATCTCTGAGATCATTGTAGGGCCCTCCAGGGGGAGGCAGAAAGCCATAGACAATTTAGAGGGAAGAGTGGGTCAATAGGGGAAAATGTCTCTTAATATGCACATTATCTGTTGCAAAGAAAATTACCAGTATGTCATTGTCATTTCAGGGGAGAGAGAACATAAAACATATCCAGCAACAAAATGGAAAATAATAGCACCATATCAGTCAACAAAATTCTACTTATAAGAGCTTTCACAGGTTCATTCACGATCTTGGTCTCCCCAACCATAATTTTCACATAAGGTCATACATATCTCAACTGAAAATCCTCCTACTAGGAAGTAAGATGGAAAGCAACCTTGAAGGTTGGGGTGGAATTCAAACTGTATCACTGAGGGAGCTCCGGACTCATAATGGTAACTTAAAATACAACCCATACACAATATTGCCAAAATTGTCATAATTTTGAGTTAAAAATGACGTAAATTAAAAGATATCAGTGAACAAATATAGTCTTACCTTGTGTCATCATTCAACTGGAGTGGGAAAGAGCAGAAAACATTATTGATCACATCATGCTTATTTGATGTAGATAGATGCAGATTATATTAAAATTAGGTCATGTGTTCCCGTACACCGGCATGAAAGACTGGAAAATTCTTCGGATTGTAAACAACTAAGCACTATTTCCTCATCCTCTTTCGCCCCTCTGCCACACTTAACGCAGCAGAAACTTTTGCGTCTTTGAAACCCTCTCCTCTCTTAGCTTCTTTGATACACTTAAAATGCTTCCTAGAGGGAAGACGGGAGGTGAGGCAAGGGGCCCTAATCGTGGTCAGCTGCTTCCTAATACACTGATGTCCTCATTATACCATAATGTCTTTCTGGCTTGACTTGCGGTTTTGGTCAATGGGGTGATAACTCCATATCTAAAGAAAAGCCACAGACTAGAAGAGAAAAGGCAAGGCCCTCCCCCCGCCCCGCAGGCTCAGGCGGATCGCTGGGGGCTTGCGGGAGGCTAAACAAGCGTCAAGTGACCAGAGGAAATGGGGCCCCAGCGACATGACCATCCAAAGGATCTGTCCGGGGATCTAAGTCAGGGGTGCCTGTGCCCTCCTCCGCAGCCCTGGGAGCTACCAGCACCCACCCCAGGGACACGCTGGGACTGCTCAGCAGGCTTCCAGCCAGGCTGAGTGACCTACTCACCTCCCCTATACACAGCCCCATCACCTCCTCCTTCTCTGTGCTCAGAGCATGGTTGAGACAAACTAAGAAAGCATCCGACTCGAGATGAACCGCATGCACAGCCTGCACCACCTGCACCGCCATCTTGGTCCGACTCTGCTCACGTCCGCCTTGGGCCCACTCGGGCCTGGCCAACCCGCTGCTTGGGCGCGCGGGTTCCGCGGGGGCGGGGCCGGCCCGGCGGCGCCTGGGAAACGCCCGTGCCGGTCGGGGCAGGCGTGGCTGTCGGGCCGGAGGGCGGTGGCCGGCCGCGGTCGGGGCGTCAGGCCGGGCGGCGGGGGTGGCAGGGAGGCGGCGCTCTGGGGCCGCAGGTCGACGTGGTCTGTGAGCTGCGCCCGGGCCACCGGGCAGGCGCCTCCCGAGTGCCGGCGCCCATTTTGCCCGCCCGCTGTGGAGAGCCGTGCGCGGCCTACACGCTCCGGGGACAGCCCTTTGAGGCGGTATCGCCGCGCGCGCCGGCCTCTTGAGCCAGGGGGACGCTCTTTTGAAATTCGGTCCTAAGACAGTTAAGGTTTTATTTTGTTTTGTTTCCAAGTTACGGCCCCTGAATTTTGTACAACTCTCCCTGGACCACTTCCGGTTGCCGGCCCGCGCCTCAAAACTTCGGTTCGGGTGACCTCGGCCGGGGATGCCCCTTGGCTCGCCCCGGGCTCACGTCCCGATCCCGGCTTGAGTGGCCCGGGGTGGGGGACCTGGAAGTTTTAGCCTCGCTGCTCTCGAGGCGGATTAATTAGTCCAAGAAACATTATATTCATGTGAGTAACCTCTTGCAGAAACAGTGCTATACTGTATCTGAAAAAGTATCACTCTTAAGCTTGGCTGCTGCTACTTTCTACAAAGGCTTTTAGGTATCTATTTGTTTGATACAGGGAAGGGGAATGGAGGACTTCAGCTTTTTTCAAGGTCGGATGTATCACAGCAGATATTCACAATACGAGTTTCCTCAGCTCTCCTTGTCTTGATATGAGACATGGTAAAATTACATGTAAAAGTAATTTTCTTTTGAGGTATGTCAAACGTGCCATGGGTGAAAGTACAGATATTCCAACTCCCCAGGTTAGGAGTTACACGTGGATTTTAGGAACGATTGTAAATCAAAGAAAAATATATGCCGTGTTGCCTCCACAGCCCATCAGTGTTTACCTTTGTTCGATCTGGTTTTCTATTCCCTGTATACTTTTGAAGCCAGGCAGACAAGGCAGTACTGGAAAGGGAACATTCCCAAGGTGCTACTTGAAGAGGTGTTGATGCTTTGCTCTTTTCTCCCAAGTCAGTTCCAACCTAAGTTTCCCCACAGATGGAGCCCGCATCCAGTGGAACTATCTTGTGATACATAAGCCAGCAACCTCCATTTTTACCTAATGCTTAAGGATCACATGGCACATCCTTCCGTGATTAATTTTAATAATGATTAAGCTTGGGTGAAATTTCAAGTGTGCAATTACATCAGATCCATTTAAATTTTCTCTCAAGTTTCAATTTCACACCATATATTATTTTCAATTATGTACTGTTTATGGCTAGTATACCCTGCCCTGTTGGGGTAAGGGTGGCTGTTCTCGTGTTTGGCAGTGGCATATTTTGAGTATCTAAAGTGCCTTTAGGCACCTTCAAAAAGAAAAACATCTTTTGTTTGTTGTCATTAGTTAATCTCAGATTCCAGAATGACTTCTCTAATTTTTATAATACTCATAGGCTGCATTTTACAGCTCTAAACATTTAATTGGAGTAGGAAAAAACTATTAACATTTATGGCAAGCTTATTATGTGCTAGACACTCTACTAAGCATTTTTATACCTTGTATATGTAAACTGCTCCAGTTGTAATTTGCCTCTGCAACTTCCTAGCTATGTGACTTGTACAAGTTACCTAACTTCTCTGTGCCTTACTTCCCTTATCTTTAAGTGGGGGTAATAGTATCCATCTAATTGGGTGATTGTGAAGATTAAGAGTCAATATATTGGCAAAATCAGGATTCATACACAGGCCAGACTGACTCCAGGACCTGTGTTCTTGGTAACTTCACCCATTGTAATTGGATGAGTTTATTAATTGACTTCAAATAAAATAAGTGTATTCAACTGACTGTTTAAAAACTGTTCAAACACCTGGAAATTAAATCAAATTATACTTTTTTAAAAAGACACAATTCATTCTGTAAAGGAAAAATAATGGTTTTATTTAGATTGCTACCTAAGGAAGCACTTCTGTGTTGTATATCATCCATTTAAAACAGTTACAAAATGCCTTACTAAGAAATAGTCTGTCTAGGCCAGTGTGGTCTCTGGCCGTGGCATCAAGGTGACCCCCATGGGTACAATCTCTTCTAGTGCCTTCATGGATGATAATGCTATATAAACACATTTTTTAATCCATTTGAATTTGCAGCTGGTAGTATTCCTTGAGTTGAGTGGAACAGGTTTATGTTCCGTGTATTGTATCGCACCTTGTACCTAAATTTATCTTGAGATTTTAAGAGATTCATCTTAGTTCAAGGGGTCCTGAATTTTGTGAACAAGAGTAATGTTCACATTACAGAAAAGTGTTCTCTAGTCAAATAAATTTGGGAACTGTTAAAGTAAAGTTTCTTTACCGCATAACTTGCCAGAGCTTTTACTATGCTAATGTGCTTTGTGACTCGACAAGATTCCCAAACTTATTTGACCAAGGAAAAAGTTACCAGCAAGTGTTACAAGAATCACATTTAGGGAAATGGTGTTCTATGCATACAACCTGTGGTTTTGTGGGCTTTGATCTTAATCCCTCTCAGCCTTTGCTTTTCTCTGCTGAGGATGTTGTTGGTTCATGCTCATATGGCGGCTTTTCAGTGCCTTGATCAAGTCAGTTTCCTTTTGCTGAGTCTTCATGCTGTCTCTAAGTGGTAGCACACATACAAGTCCAGGGTCGTGTGTTGAGCTTTGTTCCCAGGCTCATCCTGCTGCTGCCCAGCCTGTTGGCCTTTGGGTCACAGCAGCACATCATGCTGCCTTTCTCCTGAGAATATTTTGTAGTGACTCGTAGACCTCTTTGTAGTGATTCATAATATTTCAGACCATTATCTCCAATTTGTTCACCCTCTATTCCACTGGAATTATTTCCTTTTAATGTCAGTGTAACCAGAAAAATTTTGCCTTTTCAAAACAAATTTTCAAAACTTTTAAATGTCAATATGTTGGTTGCTGCTAGGACCTATCTGTGAAGTTGAGATGGTCCTGAAACCCTTAACACTTGATTTCTACTTAAAAAAACAAATTGGCCTTATTTCTTTTGTACTTGAAATCCAGACTTTAGTATATTTAATTTTGACATTAGTATTGCCTGGGTTTTTGTTTGTAGCTCTCCAAAGCGCTGGGGAGGAGAGGCAGAAGAGTTGTATCTGCTAAATGGAAAAAAAAAATGGCTTTGAAAAAAATAATATATAGCTATATAATACACCTAGAGAATCAATGTATATGTATATGTGCATACACATGTATACACATGTATACATGCCCTTCATCTGTTTCCCCTCTCTAGTCACCATACATATCCACCCACTCACAGGAACATTGATTACTATTTGAGAGTTAGGGTGCCCAGTACTGTAACATTCCTGCTATTCAGGAGACTATAATACTGTATTTGGAGGAAGACAGGACTTGTGAAATAAGCAGGGCAAATATGCAAGGCAATTTATAATTTGAGGGCAAAACATTAGCGTTAGTTTAGACATAAATGCTACAGTAGTCATAAGAGGCAAGAAGGTGGCAGGCACCTGCACTTTGCTGTAATGGTACTGAGATAGGCAGAGAGGCCTACAAGGCATTTTAGGCAAGTGGAAAGCAAAAGCAAGGATATGGAGCTAGAAATGAGCCTGGTATTTGGGGGAAAGTTTGTCTCAAATATGTTGGTAGTAGTGCTTGCTGGAACTGGTGACAGATAGGATGTAGCAACTGAAGAAGAGGAAGAAGTCCAAGGTAACTCCTAAGTTTTGAGTCTGCAGGATCAGGAGAGTTGGTGTTGCCATTGAGAGAACATCAGGATTTCTTTAAAGGAGAAGAGGTTCCACTTTTTAGGTGAGTTTGGAATGAGAGAGCCCTATAAGATGGGAGCTCACCATGGGTTCAGAGTCAGATCCACTCAGGGTAGAATGGGCAAAGCAACTGCGATGCTCTTAAATTATTAAGTAAAATTAGACCATTTCTTAACTCTATAAAAGATATTTTCCACTTTGCTTTTAGGGAAAGTAAACTAATAGTGTTAAGGAAAAAAATCAAATCAGACTCAGATTGTTGTCCTTGAAAAGAGGGCTTGGTTTAGCTCAATTAGTTCTTTCTGGCTAACTTTTTCCTGGGCTGCATCATACTGCGTTCTGGCATCTCAGTTTGCTCTTGACAATCTCACTTTGAGGGTTTAACAACCTCCCAAGCTGTGCTGCAGTTCCTTTCCCATCCAATGGCCACCTAATGGGAACAGGAGGCTTTTGTTTTGTGGAGCAAATCCCCCAATGCTGTATCTGTCCTCTGCCAAACATAGAAATACAGTGAAACCACGCCGTGATACTATGAGCTGGGTCCAAAAGATTCATTCTTGCAAAATGCAGGTCAAGTTATTGTGAGGCCCTGTAATGAGATCCAGGGCTGGGCAGAGGATCCTTATGGGATTAAGCCGAGTCTGCGATATGGAAGTTTGCCCAGGAGGTGTGCTTCCTTTACTTCTCTCAAAGGGCAGAGGGGCTTTTCTGGCCTTCTGACTTGGGAAATCAGAATTTAAAACCACACTTCTATGGAAAAATGGACTCCCGTGACATCCTGAAGCATTATGAAAATGAAACAAAGACATAGGTGGATAACTATCATTAGCTCTCAGCTCCGAATCCCCATGATCCCCAAAGTCTCTTGCAGCTCAAAAATTTCATGAAGCTACCTTAAATATTTTCCCTAACATGAAAACCCCCTTCTGGAAATGCCCAGCCACTGTAAATAACCTTTCTAAATAAACTAATAGGTCGTTTGCCCTTAAACTTTTAATTTCAATTTAGAAAGTCATGCACATGATTTGACCTTCACAATCTTACCTTTTAAAATGGAAACTGCTTGGAAGGGGCTTTTACCTGGGGAATATGGCATTCATGTGTCTGTTATACTGCTTTCTTGCCCAAATAAGTGGGCCCTTAGGAACCCTCCTGTGCATGTTCTGTTGCTATCTACATTTCGTTAGAAGCTGCTTTGTGAATGCAAAGACTGTGAGACCACTGCCTAGCTTCCTGTAGTGCTAGTTCTACATTTCCACAGAACTCACCCAAATTCCTGTGATTCACAGTCGACAATTAGCATTACCCGAGATTCTGCCTGAGTGTCACTTCAGTGTCTTGCAGGGAACTTCAGTTGTCTTCTGTTGTATTTAGGCTGTGCAAGTAGACATATATCAGGTTTGGTTCTGGTTGGTGTTGCTAGTACCAGGTCACCTTACTCACTGGTGAGTTCATTCAAACCCAAAAAGTCACACCTGTGTCCTGTGCGCGGGTGCTGCAGGCGTAGGTGGAGAAAAGCAGGGCTAGAATTGGAACCCAAAGCCCAGAATGGCAGGAGAGGATGTGGGGGCTCCACCCGATCACCTCTGGGTTCACCAAGAGGGTATCTACCGGGACGAATACCAGCGCACGTGGGTGGCCGTCGTGGAAGAGGTAACTGTTTACATTTTGCTTATTTCTTTATTGATTTTGCTTTCAAGCAACTTGGTTTCTAACCAGTCTCAACATCCTGAAGTCTTTGGTTTTATTTTTGATCATTTCTTTCCATTAGGAGACAAGTTTCGTAAGGGCACGAGTCCAGCAAGTTCAGGTTCCCTTAGGTGACGCAGCTAGGCCAAGTCACCTTCTTACCTCCCAGCTACCTCTCATGTGGCAACTCTACCCTGAGGAGCGCTACATGGATAACAACTCTCGCTTGTGGCAGATCCAGCATCATTTAATGGTACATATGTTGCTTAATCATTTTCCATTGTATTGGGACTCTTATAACAGAGTACTCTATAAACTTTTCTTTCTCTGACAGGTCAGGGGAGTACAGGAGCTGTTGCTTAAGCTTTTGCCTCATGATTAACCTGGTATGTATTTCTATTTCTCCCTTGTCCCTCCTTCTTTTTCACTCTATTTGGTTGTGGTGATTTTAATGATCTATTTTTTTTCCAGGTGCTGGGATTCTAGGAAGATATGCTCCTCTGTTCTGTTCAGTATATGGCAATCACTTCATCCACCACTGCAGTACACCCACCTGTGGGCCTGGGGGGAGGGAGTGGGTTGAAAAACTGCTCAAGAACACAGAAGTTTAGGAAGGGTCATGAAGAACACCACAAGTGGAACTGCAGAGAGAGGGTTATACAGGCAGAAAGCCAGTCAACAAAAGCACTTAGTCAGGATACGTAACTTGAAATTGACTCCTTTGGAAATTGCCATAGAACCTTTAATGGACATCATCAGCTGGAACTGGGATCTGATGAATCCCACAAAAGTCAGCACCTGCTACAGAACAGATGCCCTGATCACCAAGGACTTGGTACTGATTTAGAGAGAAGAGAGCAGCTCCTAGCAGCATCAACATCTATTTGTCGCTTATTTGCCCTGCAGCAATTCACCTGCCTTTCCTTCTCCCATCCTGTAAATATCCTAGGTTTTGCTCCAGTGTTTCCCATCCCAGTACTGACCTAACTTGGATCTACTGAGAACTTAGGGGGCTCTGAAAAAAAAACAAAACAAAAAAAGGAGGTTATTTGCATTAATGAAATTAGCTACAAAGGCTCCTGTGCCTTTTTCCTTTCTGAAATTGTCTTCAAATTATTAGAAGTTGCTGATCAAAATCGTGGGCACTTAAATTCATTCTATGGTTACAGATATTTTAAATAAGTTGGTTTCTGTAAGAGCTCCAAAAAACATTTTAGCTGCTTAATTAGCACCTTTCCCAGGAAGTGATAATAACACCCAATATTGCTGACTCCTAGGAAAGAATTTACTACCTGATAAAGAATTTCCTGAGTTAAAATAGTCGTAACAGTTTATATACATTAAAAGTAAGGTTTTACTTTTTTAAAAATCTTGGAAATAACAGCTACCATGTATTGAATCCTTACTGCCTTCCAAGCACTATCCTATGCACATTATATACTTTATCACATTTAACCTTTCCATCAATGCTTTGAGGTAGGTATGATCCCCATTTTACACATGAGTAATAAGGAAAAAGGCTCAAGGAGTTGAATCATTTACCAAGGGTGGTTCTGTGACTGATAGTGCTGGGCAGATCCGTCCAGAGTCGGCTCCTCTAGCCCAATGTTGGTTTACGATATTCAAGATGAGTTGATTGAATTCAAGGGTTTTCTTTTTTCATGTAAAGCTATTTATATCTTCCAAATCGAATGAAATGGATGTTATAAAAATATAGTTGATTCATCCTATGAATGGGAAGAGTATTTTTTAATGTAATTGTTTTCCAGCAATTGTAAGGGCATACTGCTTGTCTCAGAAGAAAATTCCATCTACAGGGACTTTAAAGTCTTTATGAATAAAAGACAAAATAAAAATCATTTTTCTTATTTTAGTTTTCTGGATATGCCGCAGAAGGATCCGTGCCAGAAACAAGCCTGTGAAATACAGAAATGTTTACAAGGTAGTATGTTAAATGCTTTTTTATATTTTTCCATTTTATCTGTGAACTAACTACAAGAGAGCAGTTGTTCTTTTTATCAGCAAACTATATTAATCTTCTCAGAATGTAATATTTCTGTAATTACCTTATCCTGAAGATATTCCTCACTGTATTATCAAAGATGCAGAAAATAAAAAGTGATGTGATCTAAGTTTGAGGTTTGCAATCCTGGTCGTATGTTAGAATCACCTGGAGAGCATTAAAAACTTGCCTAGAACAATGAAATCAGACTTCCTAGGGGTGGGGTCTAGGTAACAAAAATCTGTCTAAAAAGCTACCCAGGTGATTTTAATGTGCACCCAGCATTGGGAATTACTAAACTGAGCAAAGTCCTTTTTTAAAAAGACTAGTTTTAAATGGGTTGGTTATACTTCACTGTGGCTAACAACTCCCTTTTTAAAAGCAATCAGGCTACAAGGGGTGGGGGGTGGGGGTTGAAAATACAAGTGGAATTCAGGCCTCCAGAGTCAGCAACTAACTCTTAAAGGCAACAGTGAATTTCAGCTAAAGCATATTTGACGTGATTTGTCCATTTGGGTTTAAATCAGCCGATAAGTTTGACCAAATGCTCAAGGATTTTATTTTTTTAAATCAGCAAATGATAATTGGCAGAAGAACAAATAGAAAAAGCTACTGGGGCCGGCCCCGTGGCTTAGAGGTTAAGTGCGCGCGCTCCGCTACTGGCGGCCCAGGTTTGGAACCCCGGGCGCGCACCGACGCACCGCTTCTCCGGCCATGCTGAGGCCGCATCCCACATACAGCAACTAGAAGGATGTGCAACTATGACA